AAAGGGGGGATAACCTTGTCGAAGCACGTCTGCCAAAATGTTATTTTGTTGCACATTTCACATTGAGCAGACGGTATGCAAATGTGAAATATATTTGTATCTAGTTTCGTTCGCCGGTTGATATTTGACATTGTAAGTGGTTCCAGGTCAAGTGTGATTCAGTGGGTCTCATTTCTTAGAGGTGGGGGAGGGGTGTGATTCAATGGTTCTCGTAGGTCAGAGGTTGTGGCGGGGTGTGATTCAGTGGGTCTTATTGCGTAGATGAGAGGGTAAGGTGTAATTTAGTGGGTCTCATTTCTTAGAGGTGGGGGTGATTAGGTGGCTCTTGTTGCTTAAAGATTTATGGTAAGAGGCTTGATAAAGGATACAATCAGACTCAACAGTATAGTGAATAAAGAAAAATCTTTGTTAATATAGCAATATTAAAATAGCTGTATAAACCATATAAGCAATATTAAAATAGCTGTATAAAATAGGCATATCAAAATACTTACCTACCACAGACTAGCAGAAGATAATCTGGAACCAAGGATCAAATCAACTTACAAAATTTCTAGAATTCCTGGGCACTGTGTAGGATCGAAACCACCGCAGGCCACACGTCTGCGACACGCATGATCGATTCTCTTAAGTGGGGCTTGTGCAACACTTGGGTATTGGGGCTTGGAGGCTTTACTCCCACAACTGACAGGTGGTCTGGGCAGGTAACCCCAGGCAGTGGCGAGCTCTGGCCCTCCGGGTATTGACAGGTCAAGATTATCTGGACGTCTAGTGGAGCAAATGATGAAGTAGTTGACTAATTATTTCTTAACTAGTATTGCAGTGGAAGAAATGCTTATATATATATATATATATATATATATATATATATATATATATATATATATATATATATATATATATATATATATATATATACATATATATATATATATATATATATATATATATATATATATATATATATATATATATAATGTGTGTGTGTTTCTGTATTTGTGAAGGATTTATGTATATACGTAGGCGTAGGCACGTGTGCATGTACATTTGTTTATAAATAAAAATATAGTTGTGTGTGTGCGTTAAATGTAAATGAATACCATCTACGCTAAACACCTCACTTCCCATTGAACTGTTATTTTTAAATGATATAAAATACAGGTGAGAAAGGTACACCTTCCCCTGAGCCCTACCTTCCTAAATGAAAACGTCAGTGCTTTAAATGTTGCTTTAATGATTGATATATTCGTCTCGCTGCTTGTGATTTCCTGGGTTGTAAAAATTATTGCCACTAAGGATTTTGTTAAGATAGCGTATTCTTATCTTGTGTTTGAAATTTGGTCTATATTTAAACATTTTGACCGACAACGTTGACATTTTCCTGGCACAAAAACTTTTTCCTCACAGGCCGGTGGATAAGGGAGAATTTAGTTGCTGATTTGTGTGTTTACACTTTTAAAAGTGTATAAATAAATATAATATATATTATATAAATATAATAAATATTATTATATTAGTAAGATTCTTGGACTTTTGTTTCTCTCAATAAAAATCTACATTCTGTTGATTTAGACAACTCACCACACTACACTGCACTACATCTCTAAATCAATTCTAAAAATAAACGTGGTAGAAAATAATAAATAGTCTGTGCTATAGTACCATGTCTTTTTCCGGACAAGTGTCGCAAAGTGCAATGGTCAAACCCTCCTCATCCCCTGCTTGCTCACACCCTCTAGCCACGCCACTGTCACCCTCTTAGTCGACCCCCCCCCCCTCCCCACCCACACAGTATCGCAATTGACTCGATAGTTACAAATAGTTTCTGGGTTGACCTGTTTTCAAATGTCACTTGACTTAGTACTACGCCTACAATGTACTTACTACAACCACTTACTATCCAATGGGAACATCGAAGTTTTGATCCACCGCTGATGATAAAGTCTTAGAATTAAAACCCAAGGTCTGATCCACGAAACTGGGGTGTGTATGGTGGGGTGAGGGTGGGGGCGGGGGTGAGGGGGATGGGTTGGCAGTGTTTCTTCCAGACTTATTTTTCCGGAGTATGCCCAGAAGAAACTCTTGGGGGGGGGGGGGGGTAGAAACAAATTGCCTCTTAAAATTAGCGTTATCTTGCATTCGTGTTTGTTTTATTTCTTAACCTTCCTCCACTACTCCCCCCAAACTGCCAATTATTAGTTGTATGTATAGCTGGTGTTTGTAAATGTAATTGAATCAATCGTGTTGCAGCTCTTAAAAAATGTTTTCGATGACTCAGGAAACAAAGACCCCCCCCTCCTCTCTTTCTGATAAAACACGAATATCTCCTGCCTTTCCCATAGGATTTTAAGACCCCTTGAGCCGCCCTGTTTTCTCTCCGTTCTAACTGTGTAAGCCTCATTGAAAGGACATGTATATTTGTATTTTTTTTAATGCAAGAGTAACAACTCGACATACCAGTGGCTCTCACAATATCATTATCGACGAGTCACAAAACCCCAGTAATATCAAATGGAAAATAAAATATAAATGTTTATTTAAGAATGTTTTAAAAAATCTTTAGAGATCACCCATTTAGGACTTCCACAAAAATCTGGAATTTACCCCCCCCCTCCCCCTGATGTGGACGTACACAAAATGTAGTTAAAATGATAGCTCTGTTAAATTTTAATTTTAAAGATTTACCCCATGCCAATAAGAAAAAAAAACATTTGTTAAGTACTAAAAAATATTTTTTTTTATTTGTTAAGAATATTATTTTATGTTCTTGTAGGATGAATCATGATATTAACAATCATAATTTTAAGAGGTCCTTTAAGTTGTAAATTTAAGATACATCTTAATAGTTTTTCTTTGTTTTAAAATGCAAGTATTGCGACGATTTTGAATTCAATATGTAGATGTCCACATGACTCAACGCGGACGTACACATAAACCCAACATGGACGTCCACATGACCCAACGTGGACGTACACATGACCCAACGTGGACGTACACATGACCCAACGTGGACGTACACATGACCCAACGTGGACGTATACATGACCCAACGTGGACGTCCACATGAACCAACGTGGACGTATACATGACCCAACGTGGACGTACACATGACCCAACGTGGACGTACACATGACCCAACGTGGACGTATACATGACCCAACGTGGACGTATACATGACCCAACGTGGACGTCCACATGAACCCAACGTGGACGTCCACATGAACCCAACGTGGACGTACACATAAACCAACGTGGACGTCCACATGACCCAACGTGGACGTCCACATGAACCCAACGTGGACGTCCACATGACCCAACGTGGACGTCCACATGAACCCAACGTGGACGTCCACATGAACCCAACGTGGACGTCCACATGAACCCAACGTGGACGTACACATAAACCCAACGTGGACGTAGACATGACCCAACGTGGACGTAGACATGACCCAACGTGGACGTAGACATGACCCAACGTGGACGTAGACATGAACCCAACGTGGACGTCCACATGAACCCAAAGTGGACGTACACATGGAACCGACGTGGACGCCATAAATGAATGACCCCATACACATACTGTTTTACTCACCGTAATGCTACTGATAAACTTGCTACAATTTCTATCGATATGCGAGTTTTTACGTAGAGCGGCGGCTCTCCCTTTCTTTGGATAAAATATAAAATTATATGTGACCCTGTGTGGTTTGATGCTCAGCTCTTTGTGTGGCTGTGTACTTTGTAAATATACAACCTGAAATGTTTCTAACCACATACATACGTTTATTCTATGTGAGTTACGCTCCCCTGGCTAAAGCCAAGCGTCAAAAGTCTTATCGTAGTAGCGTAGACTTCAATGTGATAATTCTGATTCAGTGGCGTATATTTCTTTTCATCAGTTATTTCAAAGTAATTGTTTCCTTGAAGGAAGTTTTCTTACTCCGAGATGTAACTTTAAGAACGAGTAATTAAAAATAATAATTTTCGTCTTAAATTATTCGTGGCTGTCAGGTTCTTTGTCTGCCTAATCAAGGCATAAATAATAAATTATCGCCAGACTAGACGGCATTTTGGCCAGAAATTAGACAAGGGGTGTCGGTTCTTTTAAAGGGAGATAACCATTGATTTATTACAGAGTTGCGGAACTTGGGTTTTGTGAACTGTACTGCTGGAGAGAAGGGGAACGGAGAAGGGGCGCATCTTTGTTTCGTTTAGTTTATGAGTAGATCTTTTTAATCTCTAAGTGGAGCATCTTAATTATAAACTATAAAGACGTTAGTAGATTGTTTTTGTGAGATAAGGTTTACTTTGTACTGCTAGTTTATCTTTGCTACTAGAGCACAACTTCTTTGAGATTTTTAAAACGCCATCAGTTACATCAAAGCTAGGGTTTCGACATTGTATTTTTCCCAACCCTGATCCTAACCATACAGTGTTTCTTTCAGGAGGGGGGGGGGGGGGGCTTGAAATTTTTGAGACGGGGAGGGCGAACTATCGTAAAAGTATATATTTTCAATAAAAACTCTATTTCGTTTGGGGGCGGTAGACGTTTTTCTTGTTGTGCATTAATCTTTTGATTGTATCATTCATGTGGTGTTGTGTCATCTATTTTTCCTAACATATTGTGTTGGAGTATAGCTTGTATGTTTGACATACTGTAGGTTGCTTTACATGCTGCTTATACTTGTATTTTATATATACGTTGTTTAACAACCTGTGATGATGTATAGCTTCTATGTTATTTTATGCTATACGTCGTTTACCATATTGTGACATTATCTAGCATCTGTGACATATTGTGACAAGATCTGTTCATATTGTGATATTGTCTAAGATTTGTTCATGTTGCGAATTGTCTAACATCTGTTCATATTGTGATATTGTCTAACACATTATGTTCATTTTGTGATATTGTCTAACACATTATGTTCATATTGTGATATGTCTAACATATTATGTTCATATTGTCTAACATATTATGTTCATGTTGTGTCTCTAAGGGTGCGACCCATGGATACGTAGCCTAGCAACCATGTCCAACAGGGAACGCCGCAGCGTCAGTCTTGGTCGCCATAGAGACCGGGGATCACGTGACACCATCCGACCGGTGGAGGAGGATCTGTCAACACGTCACAACATCTCAAACTTCCTGCTCACCTTGCAGCGAATACAGGTAAGTCTGGAACCGTCTAAAGAAAGATACAGGTATGTCTAGGACCGGTCTAAAGAAAGATACAGGTATGTCTAGGACCGGTCTAAAGAAAGATACAGGTATGTCTAGGACCCGTCTAAAGAAAGATACAGGTATGTCTAGGAACCGTCTAAAGAAAGATACAGGTGAGTCTAGGACCCGTCTAAAGAAAGATACAGGTATGTCTAGGAACCGTCTAAAGAAAGATACAGATAACTCTACGACCCGTCTAAAGAAAGATACAGGTAAGTCTAGAACCGTCTAAAGAAAGATACAGGTAAGTCTAGGACCCGTCTAAAGAAAGATACAGGTAAGTCTAGGACCCGTCTAAAGAAAGATACAGGTAAGTCTAGGACCCGTCTAAAGAAAGATACAGGTAAGTCTAGGACCCGTCTAAAGAAAGATACAGGTAAGTCTAGGACCCGTCTAAAGAAAGATACATGTATCTGTATGACCTGTCCAAATAAAGATACTATTTAGTCGGGGTGTTACCTAGTGTGGTAACTGAGGGTGTCACCTGGTTTGGTAACTGATGGTGTCATCTGGTGTGGTAACTGATGGTGTCACCTGGTGTGGTAACTGAGGGTGTCACCTGGTGTGGTAACTGATGGTGTCATCTGGTGTGGTAACTGATGGTGTCACCTGGTGTGGTAACTGAGGGTGTCACCTGGTGTGGTAACTGAGGGTGTCACCTGGTGTGGTAACTGATGGTGTCACTAGGTGTTGTAACTGAGGGTGTCACCTGGTGTGGTAACTGATGGTGTCACTAGGTGTTGTAACTGAGGGTGTCACCCAAACACCTCCAAAACATTAGCTTTTCTTTTTTGGTCTCACCGCCGCCACTCCAATGTTGATATATTTCAAATGCATAAAACATTATTTGAACAGTAAATTTTATCATTTTTCGAAATGGTGTCTCCCCTTCCCCTCAAGTGGTGTCACCCGGTCTAAATCAAAATAAAGATAAGTTTCCCACACGTTCCCATATTAACACAGGTAAAAATACAACTCTCTCTCTCTTTTAAAAATACAGCTAAGTTTACCCGTACCAATCAAATAAATATTTGGCCATTTCTCAACACAAATACGCGTGCGTTAACCCTTATTCCGCCACCCACTCATCCATTGAGTACATATGTACTCCCCCACCCCTCCCACACCCCTCCCTATCAACATACGTCATTTCTCGCATGACCCTAGGCTTACGTAACCATCACCTTTTCTGTGGTTATTTTACCCTTACCTATGTTCAAACTTATAAAATAACATTAAAAACACTCTCAAAATTACACTTGACATCTTCAGTATGTACTCCAATGGGCATCAAACTCTCGTTAAAGTAAACTTGCCACCCCTTGAAGAACATTCGACACCCATTAATATACACTTTTTATCGTATATGCGGCGTGAACATTGTTTGTTTCCGTATATTTTGAAAACACTATCGCACTCCTCACCTTCACCCACCCCACCCCCGCCCAAACAAAAAACGCATAATTTCGGATGTTTTTTTCTCCAACGGTGCAAAGTTTGTAAACAGCCAAAAATTAAATATAATTCAGAGTACAGCAGCTGTCGAACTGATTTCCCCGGTAAGGCCAGCCGCCATTACACCCACGTTTTCTTATACAGCCCCATCTCTTGTTTTCACTTGCTAAAAAAACTACGGCAATGAAAGCTGCGACATTTGATTTGCGTAGGCCGCCATTTTCCACAAATATCATCCCTCGCCTCAAACTAAAAGGCTTATAAATATCAACATAAGCCTTTGGCCATCTGCGTACATTGTCCGGTATATTGGCAGTATTGTAGATTAATAATAAATATGTTTTCTGCAAATGACAATAGGGTCTACATTTCTTTTTTTGCCCACTACTCTTAAAATGTCAGTGAATTCAGTTCAAATAAAAATTACATTTTGTTTAATTTCTTTTATTTTCAATAAAAAGATTTATTTTTGTGCAATGACGGAATTGGGGTGTATGTGAATAAGTAATCAGATCTACCCCATTCGTCGTTTTATTTTTATTTATATTTATCAATGACGTAATGCACAAAGAATCGTTTTCGCCCACCCAGACGCTCCAAGCGCGGTATCGTTTTCACCTTTTCCGATTATCTTTCAGGCGTCAGAGGAAGAGAATCGCCTGCTCCGCAAGGAAAACCAGCTCCTGCGTCAGCGGACTCGCACGTCACGGCTGTCCAGCTCCAGCTTCAGGGGTCACAACGACGCCCCGGAGCAGACGATACTGCCCGATGAAGAAGATAAAATCATCGCGGCCGACGTGAAGCGAAACTCGCTGATGTTCGTGGGCGATTCGATTCCCTCAACCGGCGAGCACGCTGCACTGGAGGCCCAGTACAAAAAGTTGCAGGTAATTTAAAGTTTGGCCGGTTGGTCTACATCAGCAGTGGCGTAGGCAGGGGGGGGGGGGGGGGTTAGGAGGGGTCATAACCCCCCCCCCCCCCCCCCATAGACCCCAAGGTATATATATATATAAAGTATGAGGGGGGGGGTGCCAATCGAAAGTTTGAGGGGGGGGGGGGGGGCTGCAAATCGAAAATTTGTCCCCGGGTAAAAATTGGAACCCCCCCCCCCTTGAGACGATCCTGGTTACGCCACTGTACATCAGTCACTAGATCTTGATTTAGAAATCTAGATGCTAGGGCTAGTCTAGTATATCTGCTTGAAATCAGGACATGGTCCATTGCTATTCCCCTGGTCACCATAAATCTTTTATAAGTATCCACTTGACTGGGCACGCAGTGGATTGGCTTAGATGTTACAGTAGTAGATCTTAGGGTAGTGCTTATTTCGGCCAACGATAGAGGAAATACGCAAGGCGCTTGTATCCTCTCTATTGAGAGGAAATAAGCACAATGTTTATTTCCTTGACAGGATGTTAGAGGATATAAGCACCTTGCATATTTTTTTACTGTTGGCCGAAAAAAAAAGCATTTCCTTGTATTAGCGTATGTGAGTGAGTTGATCTGTTCGTGTTGTTTGTTCAGGACGTACTTTTAAATGTTTATAAGTGTTTCAGATAGAACCGATTTTGAAGGATTCTTAAGTCCACTCCAACCATTAACTTTTTTTTAAATCCCATGTGCACCCGTCCCCTCATCCCATTTCTACCGTCATTAGAAACGTGATAGTCTATAAAACTACACATCTCCCTTAAAAAAAAACAAAAAAAACAAAAAAAACAACATATCAAGCTTTTTATTTGATACTCGTGTTGCTTGAATTTTCAATATTTCCACCCATACTATGGTGGCACATCTCAACAGAGGCGTAGCGAGGGGGTGGGGGGGGGGGGGTTGGGGGGGTTGGGGGGGTTGGGGACGACATGTCCCCGGCGCCGACCTTAGGGGGGGGGGGGTGCCAAAATGGGTTGGATAAACAAATTTAAAGTTTCAGGGGAGGGGGGGTGCAAATCAAAAGTTCGAGGGGGGGGGGGGGGGGGTAAATCGAAAGTTTGTCTCCGGGCGCCGGGAAGGGTCGCTCGCTTCTGCATCTCAATAAAAACTCCATTGAATGCTCCTTTTTTTTTGTATAAACTGGGAGGGGAGGGGGCAGCATTAAATAAAATAAAAAAAAAATATATATAATTATGTTTCAGCTTCTTTATTCTAATCCATGTATTACATTTATTTAATGAATTCAGGCTGATTTCGATACGGTGAAAGAATTCTTGAAACACCTCTTCCAACATGCCCTCACCATGTCCTCGCCAGATGGTGTTAAGGTGGCATACAAAGATAAGGAAAACACTGACATTAACACGTATAACCCGTCACAATCCAAACAGGTCAGTCAAAGGTCGGTAATACACGACACACAAGCGTGACGTATTTATAAGGGTTATGTGTATACTTAAATGCCAGCGTTTTATAACCCCGGTGTTTTTATTTTTTTTTTATTTCGTTATCTTAGCTTGAACACAGCCTGCATGATATTCATGGGCAGATAAGTCAACTTCGAAACAGCCAAGATAGACAACAAATAAAAATGGAACAGGTAGATGTTTTCATAGTTACTTCTCTTGATATTTAACAACAAATATTTTAGACTTCTTTTTTTTAATTTTTTATAAAATTAACGTTCTTAGACATTTTAAATGGTATTTTTTACCCAGAAAAAAATTAATAAAAGAATTAAATAGTAATTGTTATATTAAAACATGTATTTAATTACTTTTTTTTACACAATTATTTAATAACTAATGAAATGAACGTCTGACCAGGTTCAGCAAGCTCTGGACAATGTCCTGTGCCAATCTTCAGTGAGGAATGACGTGACCATGAGGCTGGTGAGACAACAAGATAAGCTGAAGGAGATCTCCAAACACACGAGCTTTCTCGAGGCTCAGCTCATGTCAGTGACAGCATCGCATCGGCAGGCTGAGGTATATTTTTTTTTAGTTTGACACCCTGCTCAACATCTGCACATGTTGTCATTTTCTGACACATTATTCACAGAGGAGTGTAGCTAGGAGAGGGTGTGTGTGGCAGCCGCACCGGGGGCCCAACCTTAGGCAGATGCCGAACAGGGTAGACAAAAATTAAAAAAAAAAGCTCATTCAGAGCTGCGGTACAAATTAATAAAGTCGAATTTAAGAAAATAGACTATTACTTGGCTTCATACGCTTATTTAACTGTTTTCTACATCTACTATATGACACCTACATAAAAACCGTTAAGGGACACCGACTGGTAAAAAGCGCTCCCAACCTTTCTTAATTGTGGGGGGAGGGAGGCTATGCCTCTGACTGTTCAAAACAGGTTAAATAGAACTTCATCCCATGTCAAACTTGTCATTGTCTGACACACTGTTCAACAGAAAAATTAAATACTAATGGGCTTTTCTGCACTTTTATAAGAATTCTCTATTGTTGTGTAGATTTAGTACATTGTCAAGTTTAGTTTAATCTTATAATGTTTAAGGTTTTGAATTACTTAGGGCTGGGAGTCGAGCTTATGTAAAGCTCTTTATAGAAATCCTACAGTATAATACCCTATGGTATTGCAAAGATTATATATTAACTAACTGATTTAAATAACAAAGCAGCTTTATGATGTTCAGCCAGTCAGGCTGTTAATAAACTCAGATACCCATCAAAATTGTTTTAAAACAATTCAAAAATACATTTTAAAATAATTTTCAGTATTTTTTCAAGTAATAGGAGTAAGTATTTAATAAAACTGATCTCCTTCTCTAACTTACTCAGTAATGGCTTACTCAGAAAATTTATAGTAAATTTCCTCTCCATTTTCTATCATTCAGGAAAGGCTGCGTCAGACCTCTGTTATTGGACAAAAGTTGGAGACTTTCATTGCAACAAGCAACAAAAATTTAAAAGGGAACACTAAAGATGAATTAAACAAAATAACAGGTTGGGTTTTGTTTTTATATACTCTGTAAAGGTTTCTTGGACCCTAGTGTAAAAAATTAGGACTGAGATTTTTAGAAAAAATATAATTACTTAAAGGCCTATCAAATAAAGGTAGACCATTAGACTTTCATTTAATAACTGTCGTAACCCAAGAGCATTGGTCACCAACTACAGCTCTTTTGAGTTTTTTGTCCTGGGCCAGTATTATAAAATTCCAGTTTCTAAAATGATAATATACTAAGTGAATTATGGAGCATGACTTAACTAAGACTGTAGCAATGAAACAGTTATTTCTGGTCTGTTACCTGAGTTCTAATGACCGGTCAATTTCAGAACAAATCAACCTGGTCAGCAGGCGGACATCACTCTGCTCCTGCAAGATGTCCTGCATTGGTCAGCTGATCAACCACATCGTCACAGCCTCCAGCCATGGTCAGACTCTGCTGGACACCAAACCCCCAGCTGAAGTTGTGGAAGCTATGTCTAAACTGGAGCGACTCATAGGTAACAAACCACCACTGGTTTTACATAGGTAACAAACCACCACTGGTTTTACATAGGTAACAAACCACCACTGGTTTTACATAGGTAACAAGCCACCACTGGTTGTACATAGGTAACAAACCACCACTGGTTTTACATAGGTAACAAAACACCACTGGTTTTACATAGGTAACAAACCACCACTGGTTTTACATAGGTAACAAACCACCACTGGTTTTACATAGGTAACAAACCACCACTGGTTTTACATAGGTAACAAGCCACCACTGGTTGTACATAGGTAACAAACCCCCACTGGTTTTACATAGGTAACAAACCACCACTGGTTTTACATAGGTAACAAACCACCACTGGTTTTACATAGGTAACAAACCACCACTGGTTTTACATAGGTAACAAACCCCCACTGGTTTTACATAGGTAACAAACTACCACTGGTTTTACATAGATAACAAAACACCACTGGTTTTACATAGGTAACAAACCACCACTGGTTTTACATAGGTAACAAACCACCACTGGTTTTACATAGGTAACAAACCACCACTGGTTTTACATAGGTAACAAACTACCACTGGTTTTACATAGGTAACAAAACACCACTGGTTTTACATAGGTAACAAAACACCACTGGTTTTACATAGGTAACAAAACACCACTGGTTTTACATAGGTAACAAACCCCCACTAGTTTTACATAGGTAACAAACTACCACTGGTTTTACATAGGTAACAAAACACCACTGGTTTTACATAGGTAACAAACCCCCACTAGTTTTACATAGGTAACAAACTACCACTGGTTTTACATAGGTAACAAAACACCACTGGTTTTACATAGGTAACAAACTACCACTGGTTTTACATAGGTAACAAACCACCACTGGTTTTACATAGGTAACAAACTACCACTGGTTTTACATAGGTAACAAACTACCACTGGTTGTACATAGGTAACAAACTACCACTGGTTTTACATAGGTAACAAAACACCACTGGTTTTACATAGGTAACAAAACACCACTGGTTTTACATAGGTAACAAACCCCCACTAGTTTTACATAGGTAACAAACTACCACTGGTTTTACATAGGTAACAAAACACCACTGGTTTTACATAGGTAACAAACTACCACTGGTTTTACATAGGTAACAAACCACCACTGGTTTTACATAGGTAACAAACTACCACTGGTTTTACATAGGTAACAAAACACCACTGGTTTTACATAGGTAACAAACTGCCACTGCTTTTACATAGGTAACAAACTACCACTGGTTGTACATAGGTAACAAACTACCACTGGTTTTACATAGGTAACAAACTACCACTGGTTGTACATAGGTAACAAACTACCACTGGTTGTACATAGGTAACAAACTACCACTGGTTTTACATAGGTAACAAACTACCACTGGTTGTACATAGGTAACAAACTACCACTGGTTTTACATAGGTAACAAACTACCACTGGTTGTACATAGGTAACAAACTACCACTGGTTTTACCTTGATACTAACCCCGACCCCACTGGTTTTACTTTGATACTTACCCCACCTCTTACTGGTCTTACATAGGTGCTAGACCCACATCTTTTTGTACATTGACTAGACTTCCCTGTTTGTACATTGACTAGACCCCCTGTTTTTACATTGACTAGGATCGGCGTGGTCGAGTCGGTAAAGCTCATGGTTGCTAAACCGAAAAGTCTCGAGTTCGAACCCTCGGGCAGATGAGGCTCGTTAGCTGGGGACAGCCACTCTTCTAAACAACTGCTGCCTTGTAGTTTGTTCTTGGTTGGACATAGGCTATGGAAGCAAATCCTAAAAGAAAAGCAGGCTGAAATCGGAGTCAATGGCATCAATGGCGCAAAACCAGTTGACACGTAACGCTTAATTGTGTTGGACTCGTGGTCGAGTCGGCAAAAAGCTCATGGTTGATAAATTCAAACAAAGTCTCGAGTTCAAACCCACTGGCAGATAAATCTCGATCCCCTTCAACACTAATAATTAAGAACGAAGAAGAAGAAGAAAGAAGACATTGACTAGACCCCCTGTTTGTAAATTGACTAGACCCCCTGTTTGTGCATTGACTAGACCCCCTGTTTGAACATTGACTAGACCCCCCCCCTGTTTGTATATTGATTACACCCCCTGTTTGTACATTGACTAGGTACTAGACCCTATATTTGTATTTTCTTTACAAGTATTAGCAAAAAAAAAGTTTTTTGCTTTATTTTGGGTGTACATCATTAACTTATCTAATTAGTTATCGTTTATTAAACATTGTTTTCTTCACCCTGTAAACAACATGTTTTGTTTGCTTTATTAATTTGTGTGTAACTGATGAACTTGGTTAATTATTTTTTTAAATTAAATTAAATGCAGGTTCAGATTGGCACAGGTTAGGGCGAATGTTAGGATTAAATTCAGATTGCTTGGATGACATTGGCAAGTTCACAAACTTTGACTTGACCAGTCGAGTCGAGAAGGTCATTAAATGCTGGGTCAAGTATATCAAAGGCGCCAACGCTGAAGGTCTACGACAAGGTTTGGACAAGATGGACAGGGATGTGTTCCTGATAACAGGTTGGTTAACTGCAGGTTATACGGGGTCAGTTGCACTACATTACTGCAGGTTATATGGGGTCAGTTGCACTACATTACTGCAGGTTATACAGGGTCAGTTGCACTACATTACTGCAGGTTATATGGGGTCAGTTGCACTACATTACTGCAGGTTATACAGGGTCAGTTGCACTACATTACTGCAGGTTATATGGGGTCAGTTGCACTACATTACTGCAGGTTATATGGGGTCAGTTGCACTACATTACTGCAGGTTATACGGGGTCAGTTGCACTACATTACTTCAGGTTATACAGGGTCAGTTGCACTACATTACTGCAGGTTATATGGGGTCAGTTGCACTACATTACTGCAGGTTATACGGGGTCAGTTGCACTACATTACTGCAGGTTATATGGGGTCAGTTGCACTACATTACTGCAGGTTATACGGGGTCAGTTGCACTACATTACTGCAGGTTATACGGGTCAGTTGCACTACATTACTGCAGGTTATACGGGGTCAGTTGCACTACATTACTGCAGGTTATACGGGGTCAGTTGCACTACATTACTTCAGGTTATACAGGGTCAGTTGCACTACATTACTGCAGGATATACAGGGTCAGTTGCACTACATTACTGCAGGTTATATGGGGTCAGTTGCACTACATTACTGCAGGTTATACGGGGTCAGTTGCACTACATTACTGCAGGTTATACGGGGTCAGTTGCACTACATTACTGCAGGTTATACGGGGTCAGTTGCACTACATTACTTCAGGTTATACAGGGTCAGTTGCACTACATTACTGCAGGATATACAGGGTCAGTTGCACTACATTACTGCAGGTTATACGGGGTCAGTTGCACTACATTACTGCAGGTTATACGGGGTCAGTTGCACTACATTACTGCAGGTTATACGGGGTCAGTTGCACTACATTACTGCAGGTTATACGAGGTCAGTTGCACTACATTACTTCAGGTTATACGGGGTCAGTTGCACTACATTACTGCAGGTTATACGGGGTCAGTTGCACTACATTACTGCAGGTTATACGGGGTCAGTTGCACTACATTACTGCAGGTTATATGGGGTCAGTTGCACTACATTACTGCAGGTTATACGGGGTCAGTTGCACTACATTACTGCAGGTTATACGGGGTCAGTTGCACTACATTACTGCAGGTTATACGGGGTCAGTTGCACTACATTACTGCAGGTTATACGGGGTCAGTTGCACTACATTACTGCAGGTTATACAGGGTCAGTTGCACTACATTACTGCAGGTTATACGGGGTCAGTTGCACTACATTACTGCAGGTTATACGGGGTCAGTTGCACTACATTACTGCAGGTTATACGGGGTCAGTTGCACTACATTACTGCAGGTTATACGGGGTCAGTTGAACTACATTACTGCAGGTTATACGGGGTCAGTTGCACTACATTACTGCAGGTTATACAGGGTCAGTTGCACTACATTACTGCAGGTTATACAGGGTCAGTTGCACTACATTACTGCAGGTTATACGGGGTCAGTTGCACTACATTACTGCAGGTTATACGGGGTCAGTTGCACTACATTACTGCAGGTTATACAGGGTCAGTTGCACTACATTACTGCAGGTTATACGGGGTCAGTTGCACTACATTACTGCAGGTTATATGGGGTCAGTTGCACTACATTACTGCAGGTTATACGGGGTCAGTTGCACTACATTACTGCAGGTTATATGGGGTCAGTTGCACTACATTACTGCAGGTTATATGGGGTCAGTTGCACTACATTACTGCAGGTTATACGGGGTCAGTTGCACATGATTGAATAAAACAGTTCAGAACAGATCCTTATTACATAACAAGTCCCTGAGTCCACTCAGCTGATGTGAGTACCTGTTGAAATTCCAGCTCTTGTGTATACCTAGCATAACTCAGTAGACAATCTCTTTCATACACAACAGCCTTTGAAAAGGAACTCTTCTTTATCTATAATGTTAACCAATGTACTACAAGGTGAATGGCAGTTTACTGTTTCCATTACTATTGCATGTTGTATTGATTTGTTTGAACAGAGCAGCCAGTGTGTAAGGAGTGGACACAACTGCCCCCTGAGGTCATCACCTACTGTGTAGCACACCTGGTGGACACACCTTCAGTCATCAGTCAGCTGGGTGACCTGGGGATTTTAAGTCAAGATTCCAGATCATTTATTTTAGGTACTGACTTTCTACTCAAATTACAATCTTTTTAGAACGATTTCTTTATGAAAAACAATGTAATCACCAAATAAAATCTTCAGTCATTACATTATTTTAATACTGTTTTGTAGCAGGATCGAATAAATAAAAACCATGATAGACTTTGTTGTAATAGTAGTTTTAAAAATCCTAATCAAAAGTTTTGATGAATAGTGGAAATTATGTTATTTTTTTCCCACTGAAGCATTTGACATTAGTAATTATGTGTACTACGGAAAAAGAAATTACATAAAACAAGGCTTTAAAAATTAAAAAAACTATCATCATCATTTACTATCAATTCTGTTGAGATATGTGCAGCCAATTCAACTCTTTAGAGTTCATTTTTTGGCCTCTATTAATCTGGTTCTCTTTATAACTTGGTGATGTATGTCTCAAGTTCTTGTACTTGGTGTTTCTAGGAAAGTCTTATTGTTACCTGGTTTAGGGGTTACATTTAATTCTGTGTCCAATTCACTCTAATTATTCAAGTATTTGATCCTGTGCAGATGGATCAGCAACAAATGTAAGATAATGTTGACGATGTGTATGAGATGTTAATGCCATTAAATGTTGACCACAGGTGCCAGTCAGGAACACAGACGGGCTGGACGTCTGCTACAGTCTGTAGTCTACATGGGGACCCAGGCACTGGCTCAGTTGACCGCAGTCCTGGACAGGCTACACCAGTGTTCAGTGGCCAACAAAATCAGAGGTGTGAGATTTTCTCTACTGTTTTAATGTGACCTATGTACAGAAACAGGAAGACTGTGGTCATTAATTATAAGAAAAATAATTTTTAAAATTATTAGAAAAATTACAAGAACAGGTTGTGGGGTGGGGGTGACACAGAAAACTAGTACTGTAACATGTATCATAACAAAAAATTTGGGGGGGGGAGGGGTGTGGTGGTGGATGTACACAGTGGCGTAGCGAGGTCGGGTGTCACCAGGTGCGGCACTTAATGGTGTCACCCCCCCCCCCCAGAGGTGTAGCGACCCTTACCGGGGGCAATCTTTCAAACTTTCGATTTGCGCCCCTCCCCCCTCAAACTTTCGATTTGCACCCCGCCCCCCCCCCCTCAAGTTTTCGATTTGCACCCCCCCTCTCAAGTTTTTCTCTATATATTTTGCTATTTTTTGCCTTGGTGTCACCCCCCTAAATGGTGTCACCTGGTGCGGTCCGCACCCCCCCCCCTCGCTACGCCCCTGGATGTACATGTTTTATAAAATTTGAAACAATGAAAACAAAACTTACTGCCTAGTGGCCATGTAAAGTAGGTTGTAGGCAGATTTGTAATTTGCTGTCATAGCCAGGTAATATCTATTTTATGTTGATAGCCAGGTAATACCAGTTTGTATCCTTTAAAAAAAAATCCTTATCTTGAATAAACCTTTGAGCATGTGGAAATTTTAAAACATTTTATGTAAAAATTCATTCTTGTAACAGTATTTAACTCATGTTACCTAGCATTATTGTGAGCCAGATCAGTAATGTACTCAGAGAAAAATTGTCTTAAGTACTTGGTCCTTTATCCTCCACATACAATATTGTCTTACTTGGTCCTTTTTACTCCACATACAATATTGTCTTACTTGGTCCTTTTTACTCCACATATAATGTAGAGCTTCCACCACTTTCTAATGACGGTCTAAAATATTTTTAAAATATTAAACATTTTTATTTTTTCCTTGTTTAGTATTATTTTATTCTTTGAAATATTTGCTTTTCTTTGCTATGTATTCTTTATGATTTAACATATTGTCTAATTTTAAAAATGTTTTACCATAGGTTGTCTTCCCATGAATGATTCCAAGTCTTTTACTCTCGACCACAACAACACATACACCCCCACCAAGCCTTCACCCAACGACATAAGTCTGACCATCACGCCATCTAAAACATCAACGCCACTCAATTCTAAAACAGCTGAAAAACAGCCGCGCAAAAAACGGTCCCGCTCGCTGTTTGCGCGCAAAAACAAACTCAGAGACAGCGAGCCTGACAGCGAGATTGCGGTGGAGATCCAGGGGGACTACAACTACTACTACCCCGCGGTCAACCTCAACGCCCTCAACACCACCACCAGCAGCGGCAGTGGCAGCAGCAGTGGATTCAAGGATGAGACCAGACGTGACACGCGTCGCCAATATGGCCGACTTCACCATGGCAACCGAGCATCACAGGCTAGTGATGAAGTCATTGTATAACAAATTGTTTGTCAGACAATCAGTTGATTTCATCAGACAGGGGCGTAACTAGGGTGGGGGTGTCTGAAACCCCCACCCCCTCCCTAATGGACCCCAAAGTGAACGTTGACTCATGCTACAAATATTGGCAATGGAGCACTCCTGTCATTTCATGTTTACAATTATGAATGTCACAAAAACAATTTTATCTTCTTAAAATCATTGTGTAATCAATACAAGTTCATATGTGATGTCTCAAGACAAACATAGTCTTATATACTACTCCATTTTGCCTCAGGAGACACTAGATGCACCCAGAACTTAGGAATCTTAGAGGAGTATTGACAACAGCATTCTTTATAAAGATCATGGGTTGCTTATTCATCAAGACAGCTCTGGCAACCTTCATCTTATAGTCCAATGGAATGCTAAGCAATACATTTAGTACTATCATAGGCTTTAGAACCTGCCGAAATGAAACCAGAGCTGGTAATCCTAATGTCTTTACTGCTGTTTGAGTCTTCTCTCTTAGTTGGGTTATTGTTATCTCTGAGGGGATTTGAACTCGGGAATTTAGGGTTAGCAACCATAAGCTCTCCCATCTAACCATGCAGTATCCAAGTTCAAAATTTGAACACCCCCCCCCATAACAAATTCATCAATAGGTCAAAACCATGAGCTGCCCCTGTTTTATTGTTTAAATCTTCTAAGTGATCCATATGTTTTACTGGTAGATTAAATCATGCAGTCAGTGAAAATTGAAAATCTTAATGCAGTTTTGTATTGTACATTTTAAATGACATTTACATGTTATTTACGTAGCTTTTATAGCTTTTAAATTAATGTTTTTGAAATTCTGCATTGCCCAAGTTTGTTAGAAAACTTCAACGGTAGTTTAAAACTACCGAATTTGATTTTATCAGTTTTCATCAAAATAAAAGTAGGAAGGTGGGGGGTGGAGGAAGTAAATTCAGCAATTTCATCATGTTTTTTTTCTTTCTTTAGATCTAATGTTCTTTAGTGGTTACATTTTCTGTTGACAATAAGATAACTCTTGTGTTCAAATGAGTTGCACAATAATAGAATTATCTCCCTTAGAATATTTTGAAAATTACATTTTACAACTTGTAAAACGTTATGGTCTAAAAAAATTTTACTACTTCAAGAAAATTGAAGAAAAATACAGTAACCTTATGGGCATTCCATGAGTTTTTTCTTTTAAGTTCAATACAATAAAGTATTTAACAAAAATGTTTTGAATATGCAGTGTAATTATGAGGCGTATCTATAATTAGAATGGAGATGTTGCTTTACGTGCACAGAAAACTTGTTGAATGATTGTATGGATATGGCTCTACAGTTATTTGAATTTTCTTATCGTTTTCAAGGTTTTCATTTGAAAAGTACATTGATATTTTTTTTTAAATAAATGATCAATTAAATTATAATATCATGTAAAGTAATTTTTTTCTAGCTTACATATTATTCTTCGGAATGAAAACAGATCGACAAATAACGCTAAGGTAGTATGAGCAAAAATGTCTATAGTACTAGTGTACCAATAATAAAGGCCTTGTAGGGTGTCACAAAAGCACTGCGGAGACAGTAGTTGTTGAAAAAAAAATGTACCTTTTCATGTTGGGTGTCTTAAATGATCTGGCGACATCTATACCAATCTCCCAACATTTACTTCAGTCTCCCTACATGCTGACACCAAAATGTAGTGTGACACTGGATGACACCAACATGTGGCACTGGATGACATCAACATGTAGTGTGACACTAGATGACACCAACATGTAGTGTGGCACTGGATGACACCAACATGTAGTGTGGCACTAGATGACACCAACATGTAGTGTGGCATTTGATGACACCAACATGTAGTGTGACACTAGATGACACCAACATGTGGCACTGGATGACACCAACATGTAGTTTGGCATTTGATGACACCAACATGTAGTGTGACACTAGATGACACCAAAATGTAGTGTGACACTGGATGACACCAACATGTAGTGTGGCACTAGATGACACCAACATGTAGTGTGGCATTTGATGACACCAACATGTAGTGTGGCACTAGATGACACCAAAATGTTACACTAGATGACACCAAAATGTAGTGTGACACTGGATGACACCAACATGTAGTATGGCACTGGATGACACCAAAATGTAGTGTGACACTGGATGACACCAACATGTAGTGTGGCACTAGATGACACCAACATGTAGTGTGGCATTAGATGACACCAACATGTAGTGTGACACTAGATGACACCAAAATGTGACACTGGATGACACCAACATGTGGCACTAGATGACACCAACATGTAGTGTGGCACTAGATGACACCAACATGTAGTGTGGCACTGCATGACACCAACATGTAGTGTGGCACTAGATGACACCAAAATGTTACACTAGATGACACCAACATGTACTGTGGCATTAGATGACACCAACATGTAGTGTGGCACTAGATGACACCAACATGTACTGTGGCATTAGATGACACCAACATGTAGTGTGGCACTAGATGACACCAACATGTACTGTGGCATTAGATGACACCAACATGTAGTGTGGCATTAGATGACACCAACATGTAGTGTGGCACTGGATGACACCAACATGTAGTGTGGCATTAAATGACACCAACATGTAGTGGTATACATCTATTGTGCAGAATGACAATGAAGGACACAATTGAAAAGCTACTTCAGGAATACAATGCCGATTTCAAAAACAATATTTAACTGAATAAATAGATAAAATTACTTCGTTTAAGTTTAAGCAAATAAAAAAAAACTTGAATAAATAAAAACCTCTCAAAGCATGGTCTAAAGATCTTTCTAAGTTCGAAAACGATTGAAATGTATCAATGAGGTGGGATTATCATGTCGCCATGTAGCTGTCTACCCTTATATATATCCTTTCAAGCGGGTTAAAGACTTCCCGCCATCGAAATGAATTCACCAGTGCTCGGTGAGGGGGGATCATGTTTCGTTGAATTTGGCATTTTCTAAAAGAGCTGATAACGGCGCCAAATCTCATTGCGGTAGATTTATCTCGTATATAAACAATGTGAATGTATAGAGCGTATCACGTCCAGTGTCTCTTTCATTTTTCTCCAATAGCGGGGTGTGATATATATATATATATATATATATATATATATATATATATATATATATATATATATATATATATAATATACTTTTTCTATTGTCTTGGGGTAGACGAGCTTTGGCGGTGGCTATCGTTGAGTAACTTTGGATTGAGTCTCGTGCACCGGCAGTCCGGTAATCTATTACTGCCGGCAGTCCGGAAAATCGGATACTTCCGGCAGTCCGGGAAATCGGATACTTCCGGCAGTCCGGGAAATCGATTACTTCCGGCAGTCCGGGAAATCTATTACTTCCGGCAGTCTGGGAAATCGGTTACTTATCTGGTGTGTGTCTTAAAGGCGAGCCCAAACATTCACATAACGAAATGTAAATAAGCTACGACTAACGAACTGAAATTGTTAATTAATGTGTTAATTGCCTTCGTGATGTTTCATAGTTTTGACTAATTGGATGACGCTGCATTCTGATTTACTGGGGGGGGGGGGGGGCGAGGTTAGGGGTGTGGGGAGGTATGTGACAGTTGGGACAAGAGGAGGTGAGTGAGGTGCTAATGACAGGAGTCGTTGATTGGTGGACGGACAGGGGGAGGGGTGTGGGGAGGTATGTGACAGTTGGGACAAGAGGAGGTGAGTGAGGTGCTAATGACAGGAGTGGTTAGTAGATTGACTGACACTGTCAGTGACAGGTGACAGTTGTCGTCCATAAATTGAATCCACCCAGGGGGGGGGGGGGGTCCTTCAAGACGTGTGAACTTATAGTTAAAGGTTAAATGAAGGGGAGGGTGAGGTGCCACGCTATTTATTTACTCTACGGGGGGGGGGGGGGGTGAGGTAATTTGTGGTGACACGAAATAAATTCGGTTACTTTTAATTGAACACTGCACGAGGTACCTTTTTCCTTTGTTTATGTGTTGTTGTTGTTTTAAGTGTGTATTAGCTAGCGGTGAGCAACAACACAAGTCTGTTATAAAATAGACTACAGTTTATTCCCTCACTTCACATTCTCCTATTAATTCCACTTCATCTTAACATTTTCGACCATCTAAATCTACTTTTATCAAGCCAACTACACTTCAACCAATAACTGCCAATCTATTCTTTTGTACTAACTTTTGTACTAAATGCAATCTCAGCTAGCAGAAGCTGACCCCTTCCCCCCCCCCCCCCCCCCCCCCCCCCCACTAGACTCTGATTCTGATTGGTCACTTGGTCACGGCTGACTTTCCGATCGGTTGGTTCCGACCTGACCAGTGGTTCGCTTCTTATGCCTACCTAATTATCTGTAACTACGTCATAACTTAAGTGGTGAAACATTGTGACGTCATTATGGAGAGGGATTTATAGTTTTGTGAAATGTGTGATATCCATGGTACCTACTGATAGCCCTGGGCCCAACCTAATACACAGTGTCCATAACAATGTGGTAATTCAATAATTAATGGGCGTAAAGGTCGGTCTTAGTAAATTGCTATATAAAGTCTATATAAATTTTACGAATTTAAAAAATAAAATTTTACCGTAAAAAAAAGCGACGCCTTGACCACCACACCTGTTCTGACATTAAATCCTACTTCCACACACGTGTGGGGATAGATTAGATCTCAACTAGGGATAGAATTCCTAATTATTTAATTAACATTGAGACTCTAGATCTAATAGTTGTGTCATACTAATTAGTGTGTGTGTGTAGGGGGGAGGGGCGGAAGTAATCGGATTTAATTTTTTTAAAAATTTATTGAATAAATGGAGGTCAATGGCATCGATATTTTGGTAGCTGGTAGAGGATGATGTTTTTTAAATTATTATAAAAAAATGTAATTAATTAATTAATTTATTTATTTATTTAAAAGAGAAAGTGGACAAGCAAACACACCGTTTTGATCAATGGTTGTAATGTTTGAAATATCGATCTTCAATGTTAGTAATGTTTAGAATATCGATCTACAAGGATACTTTGTACACGGGACTAATGATGTTGTTAAAAAGCGATAAACAGAAGCGACGGAATTGATCGCGTTGTATATTGGTAAACAGTAATACCGTGTTGCTAACATCTGATCTTTTCTTGTGTGACACAATGATATATACAAAATAGCGATTTTAATAGACACAAGCACA